ATCCTCACATACTATATTGAATGTTTTGTGAAGTACACAATTCCAGATGCACTTTTTTCTTTTTTGGAACTAGACGATCTTTAAGGTCCCTTCCAACCCCAAGCCATTCTTGTGAATGTTTTTTTAACAACTTCATTTTTATAATCCATATTAATTCAATCAAAGTTATTCTCTCTGTTCTTAGGATAGATTTAACACAGTTTTTTTAAATTAAATAAACAATGTATTTAATTGCATTTTTTATTTGCTCCTAGTTTAACCTTATGGATATTGCTTAGGATAACACACCAAAATCAGTTTTTATAAGTATTATCAGAGAAGTTTGAGACATTGTTATTCATGGTTTAATTTTCTCTTATCTTAGAAACACTGAATAATTTATGTTGCACTCTTAGAGGATAGAAGGTGTTTTAGGCAGAAGACATTGTGCAAACCCCTACAGTTATAAATCAGATTGCATGTGATTTGAAATCTTTCTAAAGCAAGCAAATATTTCAGAGACCATTCAAATGGCACATGCACAGTGTTCATTGTACAGAACTCACATCATGAAATTACTTATAAATCACATGCAGAACAGGAGCAGCAGCAGCATGCTTTCTCACATCATAGCAGATTTGTTGTCTTCATAAAGCTGCTGAAATTTTAGGGAAAGGCCGCATGAGTTGTGCACTTTGTCACCAGCAGTGAGTGCAGGAGGTGCAACACTTCATGGACAGTCCTGCCTGGTGTTCAGGAGAGTGAGAATACAGCTCTGAAATTGTTACAGCTGCTGTGCTTTGCTTACCCTGCTTCCTTCATTACAGCTTGGCCAGCTCATTCCCCTGCTGTACCTCAGTCCTCTGTGTCTGCCTAGGCTTGGGTTTCTGCTGGTGGTTCCACATTCTGCATGCTTTCCTCAGAGTGGAGCAATGTGCTTTCCCATAAGTGCTAAAGGTTATGGGTCAGCCTCCTGCAGGCTCTGTGTTCCTGAGAAATGGGCTCTTTCTGTTGGTGGTAACTCGTGTTTTGATGTCATTGTTCTGAATTGTTCTTCATGTCGTAATATTGAGTTAAAATGTACTCCTGTAAGAGTTAGCTTTTCATATTGGGCTGGAAACTCTTCATCTTTGTCTAGAAATTTGTTTTATTATAACCAATGGCTTTTAATTGTACCTCCCATAATGAAGAGCTGACTTAAAACTCTGTGCTAATCTTGTTATGACTTTAAAAAGGTAAGTAATTTATCTAACAATTCCTAACAGTCATGGTAGAGTATTAAAGGGTTTCTCAGTTTTCTTTTTCATTATTTTTCACATGAATTTTTCACTTGTAGCATGAACTTTTCTTTGTGTCTTTTTCTATTTTTCTTGAAAAAAAATTTTTAGACTGATTTTTATTTGCAGCAAAGCATACTATGTAAATTTAAATTGATCCAATTTAGTAAAGCCACTGATTTTGTTTTTCAGACCAATCATGACAGATATATAGAAGTTATCAGCAGGACTCTTTATTTTTACCATTCCCTTTATTTATTTTTGAGTACTTTATTTTACATTCTGTTTACTACTTCAGCCTATGGGAGAAAGTTTACATGCAATCCAGCATGATGAAGTTACATTTTCAAGAACATAAAATCCAGTTTGCTTAAAATACATAGTAATGTGAACGAAATGCTTTGGGTTTGGTTACATTCTGTCTGAACTATGCAGGGGAATGGTACTGGCTGGTAGCCCAGTGTATCTTCTGCCAAGATAGATTGTGAGCCAAGAGACTGTAGAATGGACAAACAATAAATCTGTACTTTCCCTGTGAAAGAAAAGACAGCCATAAGTTGTTATTTCTGTAACTACCTGTGAATGAGAAGAATTATAGTAAATTCTCCTAATAATAACTCTCCCCAGTCAGTCATGGTAGTATATGCAATGTAGTATGGATTCTTCAGTTAACAATAGCTGTGAAAAGAATACAGATTTTTTGTAAATGTCACAAATAACAAAGTAGTAAGACATACAAATAATGAATATTTTAAAAGACACTTAAAGCACATGATCCCATTTATAAAAAAGCTCCATTGCTGCCAAAACTGTATGTGTTAGGAAAATGGTGGGTTTTATTCAAAATCATTTTACTGGAATTTTGATTAAAAATAACATTTAGGATAAGAATGTGCAATTCATATTAAACAGAAGTATTATGTAATAACTAATTTTGTTGTCAGTTATGTTAAAACATGGTTTGTATTCTGCAGCTGTGAGCATAGGTTGGGAAACGATCAAGTCTAGCTGATCAAGCCTTTTATTTTATTATCATGGATTCCTCTTCCACAGCTGCTTTTAAAATTTGTGGGAAGCAAATTATTTCTCATACTGCATATGTTGCCCATCAGGTGAGTGATAACATGGAAACTTTAGGCTGGGTGTAAGAAATCAAAAAGTAAATATGAAGTCCTCTGTGTGCACAGAATTAAAAAAATGACCTGTAAGAGGCTGTATGTGAAGCCAGCTGTCTTTTGTTACCATTGTCATTTGGACATTTTAAGAGCAAAACTTTGTCAGCACGTTTTTTATATTAGAAGATTTGATCTGCAAATCTCAGCTGCTCTGTTCATTATAAATCTCTTGTTTTTGTCCATACACTAGCTCCACTATAGGTTGGAAGGGCTTAAAGATGAACTGAGGAGGAATAGAGGCTACAACTCGAGAGTAACTATTACTGCTCAAAGGAGCTGTTTTCCATTCGCAAACATTGCTTTGCGCTATGGGTTTGGGCTCCTTCTGTTCCTCCACTTTGTTGAAAGACTCTCTCTTGACTTCCATTTTACTTCTTTAGCACTGTCTTTGTCTGCTAACATTTTTCCTCCTTCTCTAGTAGCTTTTATCTGTGTCCTTTGGATCACATATTTTACTTAGTTTGTTTTAGTAGATTGTTTCAAATGTTTGTGTTTTGTATTTTTGGTTTTTTGCCTTTTTCTTTAGGACTGTGTTATCTCACTGAATTTCATTCCACAGTTGCCGAATCGCTTGGTTATTTTGCAGCAGGTCCATTCCTCATTTTCTCTTTTCATGTTTTTCAGTGAGAAATAAGAGAGCCTCTTCCATTATAAACAGTAGTCTTACACACATAGGCCCATGTCTCCTTTTGCATACACCATCTTCTGCCTCGCCACACCCATCCTGCTTCTCTCTCCCTCTCAAACTGTGCTTCTCTTTCTTTTGTGTTTTCTTTACTGCCATTATACCACCTTTTTGGTCCAGAATTGTCCTTTGGTAAATTATAGGTTAATATGTACTTCTTCCAAAGAGAGTTCATTTTATGCCTTTGAAATCTGGTAAAACAACTCTGGGCCAAATTTGGGCATCATTAATATTTTGTTTGCAGTTTTCTTGTATAGTATTTTTGGTGGGAAGGGGGGAGGGTGTGGGGTTTTTCTGTTTGTTTTTGTTAAACGAGAGTTTTTTTCAGGGAAGGACACCATAACCCACTCTAAGTTGCAACATTACTTTCCATAAGTTATTCCATTACAATAAGTAGATTGTGTTGCGCTGTAGAATCCAACTTTTTTATGTGACTATTTGGGGCAAGCTGCTGTGGAACAGAAGAAAGAGGTTTAGAAGCTGGGGCACAGTTTGTTTCAGCCTTAAAAGGTTGTTCCTTTCTGAAGACAGCTTTTGAAGGGTTGGGGATTTATCATTCTTCATCAGTTGTTAGATCATACATATTCATTTTTCCAGGCAATTTTTTCTATGGCTGCAAGTCCAGAGTGAGGTCTGAAAGATAATCTGGATTCACTCCTTTGCTTTTGCAGCAGAGACAGATATTCTGCTGGGAAATTACACCCTCACCATCACCTGTGCTATTCCTTCTCTCACTACCTGTGCACACTTTTACTTTATTAGTACTCTCAATGAAATTTAAAACACCTTTGTCAATAAAGTAAAAAAGAGAAGGATTCAGTTCTTACTATCTCAGAGGTTTGTCTTCCTGTGAAGTTTACTTTAGCTGGGGTTTTGCCAACACAAAATGTTTTTATTCAAGTGCTGCCAGTTCAGTCATCTGGCCTGACAGTAGTCCATCTGAAAACTTGCAACTTCGGGGTTATTATATATGGTATTATTTTTCCAAACCTGAGAAGAATTAACAGGAATTGATGCTTCCCTATAGGTAAAATTTAAACTCTGTTGTGTTTACAGGGCTGATACTCTTTAAAAAAATACAATTCTTTTTAAAATCTGCGTGATAAACAGAATTGTAAATAATCTGGTATTGCTAGAATATTAGGCCAACGTGAATTATCCAATTTCCCTATAGCAAAACTAATCTATCTGGAATAGCACAGTGGTAGCTAAGTATCAAGGAAGAGGGTTTGTTCAGAAACCATGTCATTCTCACATAATTACTTTTTAGAGTGGAATTCCACTACAAAATTCATAGTGAATTCTTTTAACCAAGTAGGAACAGCAAAATAAATTGATCAGCTCCATCCAGGAGCTGTTTATACAGTTGTGTGTCATTTATACGATTATGAAGAATTCTTATTAAACATCTTCAGAATCAACATGATTGAAACTAAATGTTTTAAACTCTCAGTACCTGAAAATATCAGCAATAGAATTTTCAATCAGGTCATATACTTTTGTTAGTATTCTCTCTAATTATCAAACTGGACCTAGATTCAGAGCTACTGTAATTACAACTGTATAAGAAAATGCGGATTTTCTGTCGAAAACTGATGCTTAACCCATAATTTTAAGCACTGTTCTTTGATTTTTCTCACTTACTGTCCTTAGGCCATCTTGTTTCTTATGGCAGGGGTGTGGAATCAAATTGCTTATATCAGATTCTGACCATGGGCTACTACCCTTCTGCTTAAATATACTTATCTCATGCAAAACATGTAAGAATGTTGCTGAAAATATGTATAGCCTCTGTCTTAGATCCCAGGAGCTTGCCCATTTTATCTCTGTATTTTGCATTCTTGTTAACTTCTGTAGCTCATAGACTCTGTGCTCTCTCTGCAGGTCCAGTCTAGGTGCAGCAGCAAGGAGAACATCCTCAGAGCAAGTAAGTGCAGAAACTTCTTAGCTCTGTTGGGACACTAGCACTGCTCAGAAGACAGCAAGTGATAGTCAGATCAGAGGTAGAGCTAGGTGTGTTTGCAGCAGAAATTTAATAACTTAAGACAGTGAAGTCCAGTCCAAAGGTAAAACTGTAAATAGCTCATAGTGCTCGTGTATTAATGGAGAGTCACCTTTTAATTTATTCTTCCAAGCTGTTTTGCTAATGACTTGGAGGTCTGTGTTGTTTGTAGTATTTTGTTGTAAATGATCATGTGTGTGCAGGTTTTGTGGGCAAGGATTAATTCTCAAAGACAATGAAAATGGAAATTCTCAACTTGAATATACATTATTTTTATTTTCATACTTGAACATTAGTTAGAGTGTTGAATTACATAGAATCAAACCAAAAAATGCAAAGGTTAAGAAATCACATTTGATCCAAGTGATGTCTAGTTTAATTTGCACAATTCTTTGTGTTATGGGAATCTTTTCTAGTCTAAAATTTGATTCACCATATGTGTGTGTATATAGATATATATATATATAATGACAGGACTAGGAAGTTGTTTTGGTAGTAAAAGAGCAGGCTGTCAAGAATTTTCTACCTTATGCAACCAATTGAATTAGCTGCTTCAAAGCTAGAGGATTGTTTTGTTGTACAAAATGCAGCTTAATGTAAGTTATTTTTAGAACTATCTGACATTTCACATTAGTGAAAGATAACTTAGTAAAGTCTGAGGAGTTGTTTAATGTCATTTCCTTGTAATTAAATTACCATTTAGTAATTTTGCAATTTCAAAAAATCATTTGTTTGTCTCTGGGTATATTATATCTGTGATACCTCTAATGGAAGAGTTAGCATTTTTTAGTAGGAAGAAATGGGAGAGAGAAAAGTCAGTAGTTACACCAGCATCTTTCTTCATTAAGGTTATCCATGTTAGTGTGAACATAAAGGGGCTCTATTTTCTTGGCTTTTCTTGCAGAAATATTGAGTGTTACTTTAGGTGTTGGAAAAAACATGTCTGAGATTAGGGAATTTTATCTATTTTCAAAAAGTCTGTGTTGGAGAATGCATTTCTCAGAAGATTTTAACAGAACCTTTGACTTAAGCAAACGACAGACTTGTGAATCTGAAGGTTATTATCTGGGGACCATTTGAAGCATTCAAAACCGGTGAATTCTATCACTTTTTAAGGTTTAAAGAGGTGAAATGTGAGTTTCTGAAGTAGCTAACAGTGAGTTTTAAGTAGCAGTGAAATTACTGCTTGAAGCAGTAAAAGCTTCTAGATAGTGGCAGTAGCATAAAGGTTGTTCACTGCCACACAATTCCCTCCACTTTCATTGCTCCGACATATTTTTTCTTAGCATCTTCCTTCATATTTTTCAACCAAAAACAAAACATCAGGAAAATGTTTTTAGCATATATTGTGTGGAATCTGCTGGACCTGCAGGAATTACAGTGCTGCTAAAGCAGGGTTTCTTTATCTATGCGAATGTGGGTGTGGGAAGTTTGATTGTATTTCACAAATGCTTTCCTTTTCCCCTTTAATGACGTTGTCAACAAAAAACAGGCATAATAACTGGAAATGTAAGCTTGCTAGGGAGATCCCTTTTGTTAAAACCAGGAATGCAGTTTTTCCATTAGTTACACTTTTATCTTACAGTAGTTTAATTTGGATCATTTCTCCATAGTGTTCTTATTAGAAAGTTAGGTTTAAGAGTTTGCCAAGTCTTAATATAGTTAGAAAATGTCTCATCGGCTGTTCCTCTCTTCCTTAGAATGCCAACTTCTATCTTAAGGAAAATAATTAAGTCAATTAAAAATTATTTGTGCTTGACAAATTCACAGTGCTTGCTTTTTTCATCATGTTATTTTCTAAATACGTACAAAGAGATTGTTCAAATAATTTCTTCCAGAATGATTCCTGGAAGAATTAGATGGGCAGTTTTATTTGTCTCTACTTCTTCCTCTGAAAGGTAATTACTGTGTTAATAGCAAAAAATAATTAGTGAACAATCTCTCACATAAAAAGGCAAGCATGTGTTAGTGCAGAACAAGTATTGTATATATAGATTAATTAAGAAACCTCCTCTTCTGAAGGAAGGACTTCGACTGCGTGATTGTCATGCTATTTTTTACTTGTTTTTTATCAGAAGATTACACTTGAAGCAATAATCTATTTTTTTCCAGAATCTGAAGGCATGTGCAGCAACAGATGAGATATTTGTGTAGTGACTGCAAAGCAAAATCATGTCATTAAAAATTAGTTTCTATTATTTGTTAATGCTTTCTGTATTGTAATTTATGTTACTTAGGAATATCGTTTCATATCACATATAGAACATCATCCACTTTGACTCTCATAAATACCTTCTTGTTCTAGGTAAATCCTTTCAAGATATTCTGCAATTGTAATTAATCATTTGGTTTATATCTGTTACTCTTGTGCATGTATTCCTGCAATAGTTCTCTCTTCAGTTGCTTATCTTCACTTGTAAAATCCTTCAAAGCTTGTCCCCTTGTTTAATCTCTCAGTAAGTATCATGAAATCAAACATACTTCATTTTCCAGCAACTTCTGTCACGTTTTCTCCCTACCTGTCCCTCACACTTGGGAAAAGTAAGCTTTCCTTAAATTGTCCTACTGCCTTCACTCCAATCATACATTTAAACAACACTTTGCTATGGTGATGACAAAATCTTGACAATGGGTAGGATGCCCACTAGCTGGAGACAGTCTGCTGGCTTGACTGCCCAGTGATTTCATTGTGCTCTCTCTGTCTTCCTTCCAAACCTGGTGACTCCCATCTCACTCTTGGATTGTAGGCTCAGGCTCACTGGCACAGTGTCCACTGTTGTGCTTGATCTGTGCACAGCACAGAGCATGTTGAGATGTGTTTGTGCACAGAATGGAGTGAATTGTCCTGAGCTCATAGAATTGAATTAGTCTCCCATTATCATCCTCAGTAAAATACTGCCTCACCTGGAAGGGTTTCTGTTTTAGATTAACTAATCTTTTCATGCTCATCAAGACTTCTGGTATGTTCTTCATTATAGATAAGGATATATATAGACTCTCTTGATTCTAGTTGAATACAGTGTCTTCCCAGCGTCAGACATGAAAGCTCAATAGTGATAACTAATTTAATTTGCTCCAAAGTGCTAGATTAGTTTCAGTAAAATGGTTTAAATGAACACCACTACACAAATCTGCTCACTGCAGCCCACATGAACTTGTTGTTTGTCATTGCAGGTCACAGTGCTGTTGACATTACCAAGGTAGCAAGAAGACATCGCATGTCTCCATTCCCATTGACATCTATGGACAAGGCCTTCATCACAGTTCTGGAGATGACCCCAGTGCTTGGAACAGAAATCATCAATTACAGAGGTATATTAAGTTGGATTCTCTGTGAGCATGAGGGTGATTACTTCCCTGCTTGGCAACCTTCTTACTCTTTTATTAATGCTGTGAGGTGTCTGAAACAGTGCTTTCTCTAGGAGAAACTGCTTTAGGAAATACCAGTAATAGGAGAAATCTTTCAAAGTCAGGAGAATGTCGATTGAACTCAGTGGTGCTCTCTGAAGGAGTCTGTAACAGAACACTAATAAAATACATGAATTAATTTTCTTCATGTTTGTATTATATGCTGCAAACATATTACACTCAACCTGAATGTGCCTCAGTGGACTTCTGCAGATGCCAAGTAGCTATAAGATATACTCTGATTGGATCCCTCTGTTGTTTTACTGTGGAAGATTCTCACTAAGCCCCTATTTAATCTGAGATTAATGATCAAAGCAAAGTGATTATTGATTCCAGATCACTTTTTTCCACATTTATATCTTTAACACTTCATCTCATTCTCTTTTTCCGGTTTCTAGTTAGCCTAGGTCATTCCAGAATTTTCCTATTCTTCTCATAAATACAATTCTTTTTCTATTATACCACTACGTGCTCATTTTCTGAAATTACTTCCTTTTAATATTTGAGCTATTGAAACTTTGTAATTAAAGAATAACTGGTTTTGAAAATATACAGTGAGGTTGTCTTCAAAAGCAGCAAACAGCAAGCAAAGTATCAGACTTTGTGACTTCGTGACTTTGTGACTGTATCTCTCTACTGATGAATATGTAGGGATAGAGAAGTGATTTTCTGTCCCTAAAAGGAATTAGCAAAGCACCTCTCATGTTTATTCAGCTAAACTATCCTCCTTCCTGAAATACTGTGTTCATAATGTCTATTAGGTGCCTCCCTAAGCTTCTGCTATTCCTTACATCAAGCCTAGGCGCTCTCTGGGAGAATGACAAAACCATGACAGGAAATATGCTGACAAGTAAATCTAAGCTAGGTAGGAAAGCACAAACCTCTTCCAGGGATTCTTCCAGATTGTCCCAAAGTAAGGTGGTGAGCAAAGAGATTGTGGAACTATAAACCTCGAAAGGCAAAAACATTTAGGACATTGTTGTGCTACAGACAACAGAGAGGCACAAATGGTTTCTGAATGGAATATTCTGTCTTCTGGCTTGGAAGGTCAAAGTTTTCATGTTCTTTGCCAAATCTTTGTGCTACCAGAAGCCTTCAAGATGTCTTCGTATTGGCATACTGATTTAGCAGACTGCATGCAATATCACGCCTGTGAATTTAGTGACTCCAAGCAGAGTTCAGTGCTTCCCTGTGCCTTGGCAGCAAGATTTCTGAGAAAATGCTCCATATCCTGCATTCAGAACAGCACCAATACTGGATCAACAAGGAATATGCATAACACACCCTACACTTTCACAATGGTATGCAGATTAGAAGGCACTGAAGCATAAATGCCTGAGCAGAACTATTGGGCCTTTTTGGGTAGCTGTCAGTTAAATGTCTTCTCTAGGACAGCCCTTTGTGAACAATGTGATGAGCTGCAGTGTTGGGTACATTTAGTCCCATTTACAAAAGTAAATGCTACATATGCAACCCTGAACTCCTGAAATAAAGGATGAGACTGGCATCTGCCTCCCTGAAAAATAAGCACATCATGCATTTATTTTGGTATGTCAGATACAGTTAAGGTATTGTAGGATTATTATTCTTCTTTGAATAAAAGAATTTTGATTCTAAGTCCAGAACATATGTATTGTTATTCCTGGAACTCTTATTCTTTCAAAAATAATGAACTGAATCTGCTGAGTCACTTTAGTTTTGACCCTCTTCCCTCTCACCCAAAACACAAGCATTGGATCAGTGGTGACATTAGTAGGTTCAGAGACAGATTCTTGATTTAATGTTCACATAATTATACCAACAATTCCTTCATATTTTTGCACTGTAGTGCAAAATTTTATCTTGCAATTTATTTTTCAAGTAGTATACACATATTTTAGCACTGTAAGATTTCCAAGTATATAGTTTGAAATTTCAGGATTGAGCCTGTAAGAGACAGCCTAAGGAACACGTCTGTGTCTGTGATACTTGCAAATTCAATTCTCTTAATCTACAGATACAAATCTCAGGTTGGAAACGCATTTTCAGAAGTTCATAAATGATCACCATAATGTTATACAGACAAATACATAGAATTGTTTTGCATGGGGTGTGTGCAAACTTGTGTTTGGTAAAATACGTTAATTTTGAAGAATGCAATGAATTAAGAACCAGTTTTTCATTAATTCTGGGTTCCTTTTTTTTTGTTAATATATGTCTAATTTCAGAAAATTGTAAAAATGTATTTAGAAAAGCACTATTGTGCTGTGTTCTGAAACCTGTGTTCTGCTGCTTTTGAAACCTATCTTTCAGGAGCTCAGTTTCTCCCCAAGGAAAGTGAAATGTGCAAAATTGTAGGAGTACTAATTGCCTAATTAATTTAACCTGATTTAGTTAAAACTAAACATATTTCATAGTATTCATCCTCATAAATAAAGCTGCTGAATGTTATTCTGTACAAATACCCAGTACAGTCCTGATTTTATTCTTGATTAAGTCAAGGTATGCTGTATTCTCACAGATCTTTCTATTCTCTCCTAACATAAGGGAGAGGATTGTGAAAGTTATCTTTTGAAACATGGCTTTCATGCTGGTGTGTTGTTTAGTGACTGTATAGATCATTTAACCTCTTTCAAATTTAAAAAAATTGGACAGTCCTAAAGCATTTTACAGAAGTGTCATAAACCAAGGGCATCTGAAGTGTATTTCTCACCTGCCATCACTGATATCTGGTATGAAGGCAATTTAGACTTTTATTCCAAATAAATGCAGTTACCTGAGTATAGCTCCATGGGAACATAAGGTTAAGTTTTAGACAGCATGATTATGATTATTCTTCTGAAAATAAGAAGATGCAGAAGTTTAATTGCTAATAAAATTATAATGCAGAAGCAATCTACATTTTATGAACTTAAGTAGAGAACAGCATATTTATTCATTTAATCCATCACTTCCTAGTACAAGATCTGTCTTATTCCTGTGCCCCAGAGAAATCAAAGTTCTTCACAGAACTGTACCAGGTTTACTACCTAAGCTTAGCAAATACCCACATTTGAAAAGTGAGTTCAGTGTTATTCTCCATTTTGTGTCAGAAAGCTATGGGCATCACAAGGGGCAGTTTGATGACATTAAAATAATTCAGAACATCTTTCTGAATTACAATTAATCCAAATAGGGTCAAACTGTATTTTTAGAATAATTTGTTAAATAAAAGAGAGTACAGAGGTAGTTAAGATTGTCCTCTTGTTGCTGACTTGCTTCATTTTAAATGCCTAAGGCTGCTTCAGCAAATGATTTTTACATTTTTCTTCTTGTAATGAAACTCATTCCCATTACTGGCTAGCCATTTATTCCTTTCAAATATTGCATGGCAGTATGCCAAGAACGTACTGTTCAACTTTGCACTAATTGGTGTGATTTTGCATGCAGACAAGAAGCAAAATGAAGGCACAACATGCCTGCTAAAATTAGAAGCATCACTTTTGTGTGAGATTTTATGCATCTATGAACAAAGGATGTTTTTACTAGACCTTTGATAGCTGCCTTTTCTGTGCTGTAATTTAAATGTCTGTGTCTCTCTTCTTTTACTCAGTGTAAGTGTACAAGCTTTTGTGAGCTTTCTTGTAACTTCTATATTGTCTATCACAGGCATTGATATCCAGGTTTGCACAGGTGAATTAATGGCCATTACAAAAGGCCTTTTCTAGTTGCTTTAACAGGTTTCAGCAGCATTTTCATGACAATACTTATTTCAGCAATGCAGCATGAATAGTAACTTCAGGCTGCAAGTTCATACATATGGATGTGAACACAATGATGTTATAGTTACAATAATTAATTGCTAACTAAATCATTTTGTGTTAATAAGTGAAATATAATCTTCATTATAATACAGCTTCACTGGAGCTGAACATTTTCAAATAGAGTAGGTGCACCTTTTAACAAAATCTATCCATTTAGTGTGCAGCAGTAGCTCTTCTGCCTTCCCAGTGAATCCAGAACCATGCAGATTTCTCTGCCTGTAAAATAAGAAACACACTTCATGCACCTCTCTTTTTTGGCATGTCTCAAAGATCATAATCCCTAAAGCACATATCCATGCAAATTCTCCTGACAGAAATAATCGTGCATCCTCTCACTCCATCATACTTTCAGCTGGATATTGCCTCCTGGTGCCACAGTGCACCCTAGGAGGTGGCCTCTGTTATGAGCAGGGCTTCCCTTCTTCTACTCAGACATACTGGAATCGAGCCAGTCTCAGTAATTTTGACCCATGTGTCCCTTCCCAGTAGATCTAATCACACATGTAATAAATCTGCTTTGTCTCTCACACTATATCAAGGGGCAGGTTACATATTTTCCACTCTGTTCCATATCGTACTAAAAAATAAAGCTCTTGAAGGTGCCACAAAAGTACCAGCCACTTGACTGAGGGTGAAATAATTCATATCAGTCTCTAAAGGGAGGCTGAGCCAAATTACAGCTCATCAGTCATAGTTGCTAAGTGAAGAGAAAGAGTATGTTTGAAACAGCTATTAAAATATTTATAACTATAACAGTGTAAATTTATATAAATAATTCTGACACTTACGTGCACTCACCCTCCATTAAGCAGAAATGCTCTCAACAATTAGGTGAAGTTAGTCTATTGCAAAACTTCTTCATCAATTTATGAAAACTGGTCCATCATTATTGTTCTCAATTCATCACCTCTCACCTTCTGTCCACAGGATTCACTTTTGAAATGTCATTTTACAAGTTTTTTAAAAATAAATGTAATAAAAATTCCAGTAAATGAAAGTAAAGAAAATACATATATTTAAGAGATCTTAGGGGAAAAACTTGTCCTGAAGAAACTTATACTTGGTTTTCTATCTGATCCTTAATCAGAGTTATCACCTTTGTGTTTGGATACTTGGCATTCAGATCTACTGTCAGCAATTTCACCACAACCAGGAGCACAGACTTAAACAAATCCTTTATCGTTACTTTCAGACTCCAGTCTTTTTTCCTGTATGTAGAGTCAAAAATGAAAAGCCTGAGAAATCTATATGTCCTATACACATACATTTCACCTATTGGAGAGCAAACTTTGTTTCCCCCTTTCACTCACTGTGATGACACAGGCATGGTCTTTTCTCTTTTTTGTAGATGGAATGGGGCGAGTCCTTGCTCAAGATGTGTATGCAAAAGATAATTTACCACCATTTCCAGCATCAGTAAAGGACGGTTATGCTGTCAGAGGTAAACACTCGCTTCGTGGACATGAAGGATAGTGTCTGCTGCTTTGTAACATGTTAATTCACCTGGTTTGGATCCAGCAGGGGTTATTTGGGTTTAGATTTGATACACATCATTGCTGAGGTCACATTTATATGAAGTGCAGTCTTGAAGGAAGGCCATAAAGCCGAGTTCAGATCTTTTAAATGGATATGTGTGTACACACACACACCCATGTGTGATCCTAGATGTGTCCCTCTATTGCTTGTGCATTTCTTGGAAACATTTAAAACTCAGGACTAACAGAATATCTGTTTCTGAATTATGCATTCATCTTCTATTCCTCTGTTGTAGATTTCATGAGGATTTTCTTATATATCTATTACTTTGTTGAACTGTTACAGGTATTGATTACATCAGAGAGTTTTCAAAAAACTTACCGTAATGTTCTCTTATGGAGACGCCTCAAAAGAAGAGGTTCTTACTTTAGAAATATTGTAGCTGCCATATATAAATAAAATTAGTTGTATGACTTTATTCATTTTATTCAGCAAATTTGATTTCCCAAGAGACCTGAATTCACACTCTGCTTTGCCACTAGTTGCTGCATCATTTTGAGCCAGTTGCTTTTCTGTGCATCAGTTTTCGCCTTTGTAAAGTAAGAATAATGATGCTCACCTCACATGTCTATGAAGGAAATTTAAAATATACAGAATTTACCATTATACTAGTAGTGGTTTAATTGTGGTAGTGGTTGAATCATCATAACACCATGTTGAAATTTGTACACAATAGCCAATTTTCTTCTAAGGACATTAAAATATCTTTGTTACTGGCAGCTGAAACTATAGAAAGTAACTGCCCATGAAATAGACTGTTTGCAGACCCAGGCAATGGACATAATCCAGTAGCTTCCCCATACATTTGATATAGAAATAAAATTTCAGGTCCACAGGATGAGAGACAGACAGACCAAAATGACTAGTAGCAGCAGGAAGGGAGTGCATATGTAGCCAGAGAAATACAGGTAATGTAACACTGAGAAAAGCTGAGAGAGTGAGCTCTGAATAGAATGCTGAGTGACAAGGGCCTTGGGATCAAGCCAATGCTGTCTTGCAGCCTGATTGCTGCAGGGTAAGGCAAAGCACGAGTACAATTTCAGTAAACATGCTCAGAATGAGCAGAGTGATCATGAACGCCATTTGCAGCAATTTCTGTTAGAACCAACTCACAAACCCTAATTTTGGTGGTGGATTCAAGCAGAGTAACACTGAGATATTTGAATGCATCCAGAGAAGGACACTAAAGCTGGTGAAAGGGCTGGAAGGAATGTCCTGTGAGGGGCAGCTGAGAACATTGGGTTTGTCTTGTTTGAAGAAAAGTACATTGAGAGGTGACCTCATGGCTGTCTACAGCTCCCTGTGGAGGAGAAGGGCACAGGGTGTCCAGTGACACTGTGTGTGGGAATGGTTCAAAGCTGTGCCAGGGAGGGTTTAGGTTTGACATTAGGAAATACTGCTTTAGCAAGAGAGTGGGAAGATACTGGAACAGACTTCCTAGAGAGTGGGTTGATGCCCCAAGCCTGTCTGTGTGTCAAAGGCATTTGGATAATGCCTTTTATAATTTGCTTTACATTTTGGTTAGCCCTAAATTGATCAGGCAGTTCTGTTCTATTCTATTCTATTCTATTCTATTCTATTCTATTCTATTCTATTCTATTCTATTCTATTCTATTCTTATTATTCTTGTGAACCTGTTATCTTAGGATATGAAAAAAAAAAGCTTTTAGGCAGAGATAGTATTGACTACATTAATGGATACTTCTTACAAAAAAATTAAGGATTAGCTTTCAGTGGCATAACGTCTGCCCAAACCCCTGTCCTTTTTTCGTTTTATATCAGTTGTGCATCATCTATAAATTTTGTCTCCATATTATTATTGGTGGGGGAATAAAATTAATTCAGTAGCATTTTGTCAGGTTTAAAATAATTCATCTATTAGGGGTTTCTTTCTCTTTTTTTTGCTGGATCATCCAAGGACTTTTTTTTTTTCAGTGAAGGTCTAACAGCTGTTTTCAGTAGTATTACATGCTTTATTCAAGGATGTCTAGTTGAAGAGCCCTTTTCTACTTTTTTACTTTAGAGTTCACTCTAAAATAAAAAAGATTAGTCTCACAGATTAGTCTGTTTGATAGGCTTTTAAATCTTAGCTAATTATTAGTCGTCAAACATGACTAAGTACCACAGATAATGATCTGCAAAGCTGCAGCCAGTGCATGAGTACAAATGTGATAAATCATAGACTGAATGGACATCCTTCCTGAAAATAGTTCTTCTCGATACAAGGTTACCTAGGTGTATATTCAGGGCTCCTGAAGTAAAACACAGGTTATTAAGATAGAGGTTGTCACTGATTAGACTTCATCTCTAGGAAATCAACTTTTGACAGCTCCAGATTTAAAATCAATAATAATGCAGATTTAAATGTGATCATTCGAGCTTAGTTTGTTTGAGCACTCTTGGCAACCTGACTGCTGTGCTCGGAAAGGCAGAGTTGCTTGTGCTTCACACAGGCTTTAGACCATGGTAAAATCTATAATATCATTAATGCAGCTTGCTTAAAGACCCTTGAGGCAGGCAGGAGCTTAAAGTCATTAGTAATTGTGCCTTTGTTTTCCCCGTAAAAATGCAGATTTGCTAAACTGGAAGTCCTGAAGACTTGTTAAATCAGTGATCTCTGACTCCTAATTTTCAGTTCTGCAATGCTGTTATGAACACCCCTGAATCTTTGTTGTAAATGTGATTCCTCCTAGTCTTCCTTTACATGACCTCATACTGCCCAGAAATTTTCAGTTAAAAATACTCTCTTCTCTAGAACCTGTTTTTCAAAGTAATAAACACACCTCAGAGCTGAAAGGTAACATGCTTGCAGAGCTTCTGTAACTTTAGTCATGCTAACACTGAAGAACTGAACATTAGATCGTCTTTGCTCTTCACCTGTTTATAATTTATAATGCCATAATTTGTTTTGGTTCAGTGTTTACCATTTGTGTTGTCCCTCCTAACAGCTGCTGATGGTCCAGGAGATCGATTCATCATAGGGGAATCCCAGGCTGGTGAACAGGTGAGCACAATTTCTTTTCTCCTTTTTTAATGTATTTTTCTCCTGTAAGATTTTGCTTTGTATTTTTACAAGCCTTGCTAGTACTCCAAAATTCAATAGTCTTGGATGTGGTGTGAAGTAGGACACAGCTGTACTGACCCTCTTGCTATGTGCCTTGGGACATGATTTCAGAAAGTGAGGTAGTACAGTTACATAAGGAACTAACAAGGATATCCCAAAATACTTCAGAGCATTGTGCTGACATGTCTGATAGGAGTGCACACAGTAACATTCTGCCCTGGTACAATGTTTGAGGACATGAGATTGCTAGTGGTGCAACAATTCATAAGCAGAGAAAAGAATGATTTAACCCCCTCTTGCTGACAGATTTTTAAAGGATGCCAGCCCAATAAGTGTTTTGGTAAGATGCTTCCATTTTTTACACTGATACCTGCAAAATGAAGTGTATAAAATTTTTATTAAGATTTTATGGATAGGTAACCATTAGAACAATCTTGAGGAAGCCTGGCAGCAGCTTAGTTTGAGGCTGGTTTGTGAGAAGAATGTTTGTGCACCTTGGCAGATACATGGACTGATTTTAAAAGCAAGTTGAGGCATGACCTGTTTGTGACCTGCTGTGCTCTATAAATATTCATGAATAGACGTATTTCGTGATTTGCTCTCAAATTCCAGAGCATATTTAATGAAATTTCTGCACTAATACTGGAGTAATGGGAAAAGAAATCACTTATGTTCAACTACTGTTATTCTGTCCATTTAATCATACCTGCCAGCTCAGGAAAATGTGAGTTAGTCCAAAATGTTTCTCTAGCTATTTCAAGTCCTGATTTATAATTCTGTGTATCGTGTGTGAAATAATGGAGAAAGAGAGAAGTAACAGGCAAAACAAGGAATTGAGCAGTTTTATTGAGGATTTTATAGTATGTCCATTTAAACTGCTGAACAAAAAGTCCAAGTAAAATTGACATCTTTCAAAAGTTGTATCAGATTTTGGAAGTATTACCAGTCACAGGATTATTCAATTTTCTTTTAAATGGACTTGAACTGTCTCTGAATGTGTAATAGACATTTAATTTGGCTAATCATGACAGAGAGGAAGAACTGTAAAATTTTTTTTTACTTTAGGTCCCATCCATCATCATGAATTATACTTTGGTATAATAGACACCTTCTCAGTGCTGATATTCCTGTGAACTTAGATTAATGGATCTGTTGTACAAAATATGTAAAATTACTTTAAATTCTAGGAAAACAAAAGTAAATTAATTCAGCAGTTTTTTAACCTGCCTTATGTTTTTAGACCTCCTGACTGCATTTTCAAGCATTGGTCCAGAATCCTAAAGACTTGACAACTATTTTTACAACCTGTTTTATGATCACTATAAAATAGCAAGAACCAGCAGAGCAACCTGCTGAATTACCACTCCTATCACTATTCCCCTGTCATCAATATTATCATTTTGCTAGTTAAATATCACAGCACAGTGTTGCTTAAAAGCAGTACTGTTGAAGCTGTCTCTAATGGGGAGTACTTCCCATTAGAGGTCTGAAGCATTTCAGTGTCCTAATCAGTTCAGCAGGTTTGTACAAAAGATAAAAGGGCAAATGGAAGCTGCTTCCCTCCCACAAAGTTCAAGAGCTCACAAATGTCTCTATACAGGGACAGTCTGTCCTCCCAGATTACAGGCAATAGGAAAGCTCTCTGGCAAGGAGCAAAAATTGGGTGGGAAGCAGGCATGCAGAGAGAGACTATTTCTGAAAATACCAGTGGCAAGTTAGAAAAACAAGGCTGTTGACCTAAGAATAATTGGTCAAAGTTTTTTTCTGGGGCAAACATATCTTCAGGTTCATCTCCTTCCCAAGAAATTATTTATAGCCTTGGAAGGCTCCTCAGTCTTATTTCACCCTTCAGTCACTCTCAGCAGCAACTTTCTGTTTTTCATGTTACAAACCAATTAACAGAATGATTCACAGCAGGGAGTTCAAAATAGATTTAGATTTTGGCTCCTCCTGTAGGGAAAAAGGTTATGTAAATGCTAGTAGCAAGAAAGAAGACGGGACTGAGAATTGCAGGGAGACCATATAGCCAAGTTGGACATTTCTGTATTAATTTTTAATTTGTGTATTTTCTGATTTCCATCTCCAGATGGTCGTGTTTATGTAAACCCTTTTTTTCTTGTATATCAGGGAAAGTTTTCAGACATTACCCTGCTTTGGGAAGGTTAGGGCACACTTGGGATTGCTGGTCACAAGTCATCCACAGTGGCCTGTGTGTGAAACACTCAGCTATAGGAAAAATGGGTTTCCTTCTATAGACTTACATAGACCATAGCATTTCCTGCAAGACTTTGTAAAGGTATTTGTAAGAGGCACTACTAACCAGCTACAATATAGGATGAAAAGCAGGCATTTTCCACAATTCCATTAACTTGTGCCTTTTTACAGAAAGGAGCATGGATGATTCTAAATCACACAGAGAGGTGTGCATGAGAAAATTCCTGAGATGGGGGTTGTGCTCAGTAGATTATTTCTGGGTTTTATTCGGTGACTAAAATTGAGTAGATTATCAGTAATGAAGGCAAAGGACAGAAACCAGTATTGCCCCATTGCAGGTAAAAGTGAGATCTCAAAGGCCTTTAGAAGAGCTGTGAAATTTTTGCACATTATGTTTTCTGAGAAGCAATCACTTCTTTATTTTCATAGTCTCTGTCATAGAGGAACATAGCCCTGGAGATTCACAAATAAATCAGATGGTTGACTTTTGTTCATAAAGTTAATCTGATCAAATTCTCAGCAGACAAAAAGGAAATTAAATATATGAGCAACATAACCAGTTCTAAAAGCAATTGTATCATGAATTTGTTTAAATGTATCACATCATTGCATCTCAAAAAATTAACTCATCTAACAATAAACTCCAAAAAACATGGTTAGTTACAGCACATTTTATCACCATAGGCTCTGATTTGTGGCAGTAGTAGACATTTTGTGTTCTTTATGATGCTTTTTAAATGGGAGAAATTTTTTTATGCAATACATTTTTTCTCTGAAATCTGTCATTTAAGCCAGCAATACTTAGTAAGTTCAAAACAATATTACCTATTTGTAATGTATCTTCAGATTATATCTACAGTGGTATGCAAAATACATAATCCAAGGCATAAGCTTTACCTTTTGTAACATTTCTTTTCATTAAAATCTAAATTACACACTAGATAGCATTATTTTCCCTCTTAAGAAGCTTTAGTATAAATGGCAGTATCTGCTACCCATCCACAACTCCTTGAATAGTCTGTGGTGAGGAATAAATGCCATTTTCTTAAAAGTGGCTTTTTTATGTCATCTTGTTTAGATACCTACGTTAGGATAGCGTGAATCTTGCCCTAAAAATACACTAACTGTGACATATGGCAAGTGTGGGTTTTATTGATGTTCTTCTCCAAGGATATTAGATTTCCATTACCTGTAGAAAAGGGTCAAGATTCAGTCAGTTGTAGGCTCAGTTGTTTCGTGGAATACAAAGGTCACTGTGATACTGTGGTAAGCCAGAGAAAAACCATCCCCAGCGTGTTCCTAGGCCTTCTGTCCCAAATGTGTGCAATACACACACTTCAAAGTAAAACTCCCCTTTCAGAGGTTATGCCAGTGCTGAAGTGGAGTGGAAGGGTGGGCAAGGCAAACAGCTTTATGCAGCTGAAGTGCTGACCACTGGTCTGGAGTTTGGTCATGTCTGTCAGCCTCCTGGCAAAAGTCATGGAGTAAATTCCTGCTGGGCAGGAGCAGGTAACAGTGCTGGGCAGTACTGCCTGCAACCTGTGGGATGCTGCCAAATGTGTGCTGATTGCAGTTTGAGGAGTCCTGGATGTATTCCAGTGCTGCATATGGAATATGGAGTCAATCTGCACAAGAGTTATATGTGTGACACGTACAGAATGTGTTGCTCTGGTCACAGCTGCATAGATCTGTGTGTAGCACATGTTCACTTATAACAGTGAAACCTAAATAAGCCAGGCTTACTGCAGTGCTGTGAGGAGCCAGCAATGAAATCTCAGTCATCATATCAGCTTTAGTTTCATTTTTCAGGATTTTTTTTTTTTTTAGTTATTTATTTTTTAAATAGTTATAGTCAAATTGCAGTTTTACCCTGGATTTTGACAAATGTTTATTAAAGTAGTCTGCCTGGTGAGAAGTGTTATTAAAACCATATCATTTGTTTATTATGTTGCTCTGATATTTTTCTATCCTTTGTACTGCTTCTACTGAAGCTTTCTAGTATCCTGTGACTTTATAGAATTGTAAAATATTATCAATTTTAGGCTATTCTAAATTAACCCTCACAGAAACAGATATTCTCTCTGAACTAGTATTGAGCTGTCTCAGTGTTAGTCTGCTTAAAAATTAAACAGTTGGTTACATTATCATTATATATTGTTTTTTCATATACAGTGTGCTGGTAAAACAAAGCACAACAAAAATCCAACCAAAGTAAAGCAATCTCAGCTCTGGGAACCAGAGTGCTCTACAAAAATATTTATGTACTGAGAACTGCTGGATTTTTGTGCATGGAATTTTCCAGAAGGTCACCATCTAGCAGTTACATTTCTAAGCCAGTTATTTTTCTGTGCCAGGTATTTTTCTGAGTATCAGTATATTCCTTTTCCTGAAAGTTGTTTCATGTGATAGAAATATAAGGAGAAAAACCTGAAGCCACCTAATATGTGGCCTTATAAATAAAGCCAGGTGTGAACTGGAGTTTATTGTACCTGATTTTATCTCTCACAGTATATCAAGAATCATGCTGAAAATAAGAATTCTGGTCTTGCAGATAGATTACTTGCATAAAGTTCAAGTGGTTTGAATTTTTTTTTCCAAAAGTAGATTGATTTCTGTATTTTTTTTATTTTTCAGCCAACTCAGACTGTGATGCCTGGTCAGGTAATGCGTGTTACAACTGGTGCTCCCATTCCTTGTGGTGCTGATGCAGTGGTGCAAGTGGAAGATACAGAGCTCATCAGGGAATCAGATGATGTGAGTCACAAGTTAGAAAACTCATTTTTCTCTTGTGTGCAGCAGTAAATGGCATATGACACAATCCTGTAAATATGAAAAACAGTCATACAGAAAAGCTCTTCAGTAATCTCAGAAGTTTGAGGATTTTTGCATCAGTTCCTAGTGGCAATTCTCACTTTCTCAGGCTGTGATAACAGTACCACAGACCTTTCTGTTCTGACTGATTTTTCATCAAAATTGTTGAATGCTGACTCTAAAATGCTTGGGAGCATGATTTGAGTGAAAGGCAAATGCCTCCTGGAAATCCATGCCTACAGTCCAATTCAAATGCCTATTGTACTCACATTTTAAAATACAGGCTAGTGGAAATCTCACCAATAAGAAGGGGAAATGTTTTCTTAAATTACATATTGATCTCAGAATAATACATTGAATTACTGCTGATGTACTTAAAGCTGAATATAATTTTCTGTGGGAAAATGAACTGGTTTAAGTGCTGCAAAATCCATGGGATGACTTGGGTTCTTATAAACTGTGCTATGAAGACAGTTCTGTATTATCAGTTGGTCTTGTTTCAGCAAAGGTGGATTTGATGGATTTTGAAGAATACATCTTGTACAAATACCTTCCAGTGAATCTGTTTAGAAACAGATTTTTGTTATGAAACAGGGGAAATAAATGCCTCCCAAGTTTTTTTAAACTACAGCTAAGATTTTTAAAATACATTTATGCTTCTTTAAAATGAGAACATTACTGAATTTAAGACCTCTGAAAACCAAGAAATGGATAAGGTGCATATTCCTCCGGAGTGTAGACATAACCCTGTTTTTGAATAGATTTTCCAGCCTACTTTTAAATCATACTACTGGACTACCTTACAGATGCTGCAAATAAGAACACAGAAAGAAAAACATTGAAAAAAGTATGAATACTGTAGTATTAATTCTGTATGCACAGTTGTCTCAACACAGTGAAATTTGCTTTTTATGAAGCAGAAGAGCTCTCCATAGACAACTTTATTCCAAAGATTCCATCTTAGACTTCCTTTGTGTTGCTGTGTTTGCTTCTGAATCCCAGCTGTGATTTCGAGGCACTCTCATCATGTTTGCTGTCATCTGAGAGACTTCCAGGCAAGGAGATATGTCTCTTATTTACACAACTTCCAAGTTCAGCTTTGGAATGAGCTATGTGTATGGTTCTGTGCCCAAATCAGCCTTTACTCTACTGCTGCTGTTCTGACAAGCTGTTCCACTTTGTCACAGCTCAGTGTCAGTATCGTGATTGCAGCTGGGGTGTAAGCAGATGAATTCTAGTGTTCAAAACTGATAAAGACTGCAGAAACTGAAACCCACTCTCAGGATCCTTTCTCACGCCTTAGTAATCTTATTAAATGCATAGATTTTTACATCTAATGAACTCAGCAAGCTGTCTAGGCTGTCCTTCTTCCTATCAGGGAAATTATTGAAATTATCAATCCTACTTTGAGGACTGTATATGTATAGATTGTGTCTTCCTGCAAAATACTCCATTGCCTTCGCTGCTTGTTAATCATCCATTAGCCTTACTGAGCAAGTCTTTTGTGGCCATTGCCCACCTCATCTCGAGAGGACTGTCACATTAAAAAGCAACACACATGGTAACCTTCTATTTTTCCACTTCTTTGGATGACTCTGTCCTGCCTTCCACTTTTTATGTACATGTTCTCCTCTGCATGTGAGGTTATTTGGCTATGTGCTTAAAGTCTGAATTTTTTCATGAATGGTCAGCCACCTTCAACTGCTTTTTCCTGCCTATAAGTAGGAGGTAGAACTCTTTAATTTCTGTTTGTCTTTGAATACACCACTCAACGAATCCTCTTCATAATAATTAGTATCATTTAATTAATATGTTATTTTCTTCTCTTCCTTTTCATGTCTGGGTGGCTGCATATTTGAAGAATATTTTTCTTTTTAGTGTTAAGAACTCCTTCAGGGCTGGGATTTAACTGAAGTGAAATCTTTAACATCTGAAAAATACTCTTCTGAAAAGGGATTACTTTTCAAAGGATCTAGTGCCTTGAGTTCTAGTTGTGGTAACAGTACTTAAACTTCATAGCAAGCATTCCCCAAATGACCTTAGAAGTCATAGGCCTGAAAGGAATTACATCCATCAGGAAGAAAAATTCTCATCAGCTTGCCAAATGCACATTCATAAAGAAATATGTCTACACACTTTTCATCCTGAGTTTTTATGTCACCTTATAGGAGAAAGGAGCCCAGTGTGATCAACCAAAACAAGAGTTAGGTCCTGCATCAAGCCCAAGCATCAGCCAACTGTTCACAGCCACCAGAACAAGCTACTCAGATAGAGTTCAAAATATATTCATCCACAGCAAGAATGCTGCCTGACACACACCAAAGGAAAGATGTTCTCAGTGTGATGCCATACCGCTCTGCAAGCCCCTCTAGCCACCTTGAATTATATTGTATTCCTTAAGCATTCTGGGATATCCATCAGTTCCACAGATATCAATCTCTTTCTATCACCATGTTGTCCATAGTCACACTTTCCACAGTGCCTTTTGAACCTGGGATCGCTGAATTCCTCAAAAGTCTTTTTTTTTAGTTATTTCCCCTAATCCAGGAGTCCTAAACATGACCTTTTATATTAATCAATGTGTCGTTGCCTCTCCTCTTGATTCCCTTAAAATCTTCTATCCCTCTTTAAATTTTATCAAAGATACAGAAATTTCAAATCTTTGTGACTGAACAACCATCTCAGAGTGTCATAACAATAAAATAATTCTGGGACTAAGCATTGCTCCAAATTTAAGACTCAAGTGTCTTTTACAGCCTCAGCTGGCACTGAGGGGGCAAAAGGCCATTCTGGGCACAGCCAATTTGAACACTCACAGACAAGAACCATCTCTTATACAAAAAGAGAAAGTACAAAAGAAACCGAGTTTGCAGTAAAAGCTTCTGAAAAGCATATAAAAATACTGGGATCAAGTAAGAAAATTTTTCATTAGTAATTGTCTGGTTTTCAGGGGTTTAAATCTTCACAGTAAATAAACAGAATCTCAATCTCTAATAACACATTCATTAGCTTTCACTTTGGGGCCTTAAGTTTCGAGCATTTGGTTTGAACTCAGGCCCATATCACCATTAAGAAAAGATACAAGTCCCAGTGTCCAATCCAACACTACTGTTCTTGTAAAAATTCCAAATAACACTGACCTGCCTTGTTTTTCTTGTAGTATTAGTGTCTGATTTATAACTTTGAGGTATTTAAATACAAAGCACTACATGATAATGTAAAAACAAAATTTGTTCCAGTCTAAGTTTGGATTTAGTGCTACTGACAGGCTGGCACTATCTCAAAGCTGAGTGTATATATCATCAACCCATTTGCAGGGCTTAAAATTAAATATTAACAATATAGGTCATGTGCCATTTATTGGCATGGAATGAATCACCAAACCATTGACATTCTGAAAAAGGAAATGCATCAGACTTTTGATTCCTACAAGGCTCTCAAGTAGGAGTTTCCACTACAGGACTCTACATGAAAACCCTGAAACAGCTGCAGCACATAGCTTCCTCCCACTTTTCTGCTAATGTAGTGGCCCACTGTCTGCCAGACTAATGGTCTGTTTGAAGTGCCATCTTTGAAATGGTTTGACCAGATTAAGTTGGCTGAGAGGAGTACAAAGAATCCACTCAGTATACCAGATCAACAGATGTAACCCAGGAAAGCTATATAAACATAGGTATCATTTAAAAAAAAAAAAAAAAAGGAAGCTAAAACTACATATTCAGCACTGGTTCTCCCCTAGTGAGCTTATCATAAAGAACATTTCTTAAAATGCTGTTCAGTTTTAGCACACATTTTGTTACAACCTTGATAAGCAAATCAGGAGAACAATATGATGATTAAACCATAATGTCTCAGTGTAATGGGTGCTTTAAAGAGTGTATACTTCTGATAAATTAAACATTAATCTTTGAACAGCTCAGCTGACCATATGTGATGTCCTTGTGTTTGTAGGGCACTGAAGAACTAGAAGTTCGAATCCTGGTGCAAGCTCGACCAGGCCAAGATATCAGGTCTGTATTTATTAAAATATCTCTGTAAGGAATAGAAGGGCTGATGAATTTCAAAGTATTTTTTTAATCATGAGTAGTACTGACATTTTGACGAGCAGGACCAATCAAGGAAAGGTACTTTGAATCTCATTCTGTTTCTCTTTCATGTTGTTTTTCTGTCCTGATTTTCAGACCCATAGGACATGACATTAAAAGAGGTGAATGTGTGCTGGCAAAAGGAACCCACATGGGTCCGTCTGAGATTGGTCTCTTAGCAACTGTTGGAGTAACTGAAGTAGAAGTTAACAAGTTTCCAGTGGTTGCAGTAATGTCAACAGGGAATGAGGTAAGGAAAGTTAGTTTAGAAATACAGTCTGAAATACTGTATGGGTTTTTTTGAGGCAGTGTTTTTGGTTAGTGACTTCCACCCTGTTCCTAAGCAGACTCACTTTTGACTGCAGCTCATGCTGAGATGAGCTATTTTTGTGAGGGATCAACACATAATAATCTGCTTGTGTTTTCTCCCTTAGGGGCTTTTTCACAGGTCTCACACTCTTTTTGCCAAAATTTTGGTAATGTATCCAACCATGTGCCAGCTGTTTTCCTCCTGCCAGCAAGGGAGAATCTGTGGGGTAGTCGGGGTTGTAATTCATGTTGCCAGTCATGACTAAAGAGTAATTTCTTTTAAGCAACACCCCCTGTGTCTATAACACAAATGGCAGACAAGTTGTCCTTGAAAACTGAATAGTTTACCAAATTCCTTGTTTCAGTATTTTGCCTCAAAATTCTTTCTAATAGTAGCACATGTTGAAGTCCAGACACTCTTCCCTTGTAGAACAGCAGACCAGCTTTATAATTGATTTAACTACATCAGAAAAATCAGGTTTAAGATTAATTTAATTTACTAACTTTACATATGTTGTGTGTTTACCCAGGCCAGCACCTGTGCCCTCTCATTTCTTCTAGCAGCAGAACAGAGAAAGAATAGGAAGAGCAAAACCTAAAGAGCATGTGGGTTGAGATATGTGTGTGTTAAGACAGCATTAAGTTTTAACTGTCCTTTAAGACAGACTTTTTGAAATCCAGCCACAAATATTAACTCAATTGCCATGTTCTCATACAGCTTGAACATGTTCAATTTTGAAAGATTTTGAAAACTTTTCATAGGTTGAATTTTGTCATCTGATGTAGAGATTATTGCCAGATTTCGTAGCATAAACAGGGTGTGGCAGGCAGGAACCAAACAACTAGATGAGGAATAAATCCATAGGGCTACAAGGATTACAGGTGGTGATTTTCTGATTAGTAACTTCCATATGATTGAAGATTCTTGTATGTCATTAAAGGGTCCTTTACTGATGTGGACATTCTCTTTTGTAAAATATTAAGAGACCCTGCACAGTGGGTTATAACAAAGAGAACTGCAAGCCAAAGCATTGTATTTACCCATGCTTCACTTTTCCATTATTCTTACCTTACTACCCAATGCTGTGATTTTGACAGATACATTCTTATTAGTAGTAGTATTATTTACCTCCTGTCAATATTGTATTGTCCTTTTGTGTCCTACTACATCAGAATTTCTGATATATATAAAACATACATTTACATATGTGTGTTTTGTAGTTTAGCTTCCAAAATACATATGTGAGGTAATTGCCACAATATACTATCTTGAAAGAAAGTTTTTAATCCAAAACAGTAATTGATATAAGAACTAAGTATAAGGCTTCTGTCTATTAATCTGATGCAGATTGTTGTATTTAAAAGACATCTTTTTTGCTAAGCAGACAAAGAACTTCAAAATGTTCATTAATACCTTTAAATCTGGTTAACGATATCAATGAGGTTCCCTTAAAACCATTAAAAGAGGAGCAATAACATGAAAACCTAAAAGTTTTGTTTGGATTGCTAATGTCTGAGCTTAGAAGCCACGTACTCATAAGGAGTAAGAATGTTTTGCAGACGTGAACCAGTAGAAACAAGGGAAATAACATGGAATTGGATTAAACAAGCACATTACATATCTTATCAATTTAAATTCACTAAATCGTTCTATACATATGTTTCATGATATGTATCTAAAAATATCCTGTCCAACCCAAAGAAAAAATTCTCACTTGTGTAAAGCCTGGTATCCCAAGGAGCCTGACTGAGAGTGTTCCTGGTTTTACAGCTGCTGAATCCTGAGGATGACCTCTTGCCAGGAAAGATTCGGGACAGTAACCGTTCCACCCTCCTAGCTACAATCCAAGAACATGGCTATCCAACAATCAACTTGGGAATTGTGGGTGATAAGTAAGTACCACATGTTAGTAAAGATGTCACTTCATATTCATGCGATGCACTTTATGGCATCCATGGGAATAGGAATACCAGAGAAAATGTCACTCATTCCAAGTGTCACAGTGACAAGGCACACCTTGGAGAAAGTATTTCACCATTTCATTAGAGCAAGAAATAAGTTTATTCTAGTATTAGGACGAATCTTTTGAAAAAAAAAATTTACTGGTGTTTAATTTGTTTTGCATTCTGTTTGCTGAAACAGATCATATATTTCCTGTTGCAAATTGAATTTATTGCTGCAGTATCCTTCCAAGCACTATACTTAAAGCACATAAAGGGAGACAGTTCTACAGCAGCTATACTTTTTTGCTGGTCAAATAAAGGGAGAAGAAAAGTTTCTCTCAGAGTTTATTTTCCATGCCAAAATTAGAATATAGAATTTTGTCATATTCTGAGTAATTGTCTTTTGAGGAAGGCCCTACTGCTGCTTATTGCTCAACATTTCCAGAAATATGTGGAAGAAATTTTTTTTTTAAGTTTAGTGGTCTTTACTTTGATTGCCACAGAGTAGCACCCTACTGATTAATCTTTCTGTTCATCTGACAGCAATTGCTCCTTGTTTCCCAGTGGTAGTGAAGTGACATCTCTTGAGAGCTCTAGGATAAGAGATTGAAGTTCAGTTTTCTGTCCTTCTCAAGGCTGTGCAGTGACTGCCATCCAGCCTGAGTTTCTCAGTGTAATGCATTTCCTCAATCTGTTGAGACCTAGAGGCTTTGAATTGTCTTTCTTGCTTTTCAGTTTGGATATCAACCCAACTGACAGACTTGGTTTGACAGGGAGTTGTTCAGGTTTTCCTACTGGGTAATTAAAAGTAAAAAAAAAAAAAAAAAAAAACAGATAAGCAGATGACAAGGTCCCAGTCAGGGACTAAAAGGGAATCCAACCAGGTTACTATTACAGAACAGGTCATTTCAAATGCAGTCTTCCCTAAAGAGTATTCAACACAAAACATCACTAGCTTGACAGAAAGCCTATGAATGGGCCAGCCACTACATGGTTTTGCAATAATTAAACCAACCTGCACGGTGGCTGCAGGAAATGCAGTTGAATTTGAAGTACTCGTATAGGGAATGTGACATCACAGTTGTGCTCTTAGGGAAGGCAAACCCTTCTGGATACTCTCACTGCATCCAGGTATCCCTCTTTGCTTCTCTAGCCTAGCAAAACACCACTGCAGTTCCAAACAGCAAAAAATATCAAGCCCTCCTTCCCATGAATGCTTCCAGTTTCAGGTGATGATGTCATACAGAGTCTAAATTCATGCTACTGTTCTTTCCAGGAATGGATCACTAGAGCTTTCTATATTATAAGGACCTTTTTAAACTTTAAAACATAAGTTTTCAAATGAAACTATTATATCCAAAGAACAGGTTCTAGATTTACGTAGCTAAGAAAAAAGAAAACAGCCACAAAAAGTCTCTTAGCTCCTGAGAGTCATCTCTATGTAGAGGGATTGGCAGGTGTTTTCTTCAGCAAAATACTCTAGGTGGAACTTTTTACCACCTGCAGGAGCAAAAGTAACAGCTACCATTACCAACATTATTGTCAACAATAACTTATATCCTATATTACCAATGGCTTCATCCAATGGAAAAGATGCTTTCCCTGATAGTGCCCTCTGGAAAATAAGAGTGTAAAAGCTTGTTTGTTCTTTATGGCCTTGTCTAATCAAATAGCTATAATCTCAACTTGGCTGTAAAGTCAACACTATCAAAAGGGAAACTTTAACTTAAGGTCATTGTGCAAAACTGTAGCTATGTGCTCCATTGCCTTCAGGAATTGTTTCTGTGACCTCCTAGGCATGGAGAGTCTGTGAAAATAAATAATCCTGAAAGCTCTCAGTAATAAATGGCAAACAACTTCAGAATGATAGAATCATTTAGGTTGGAAAAGACTTTAGAATTATCAAGTCCCACCAGCATTGCCACAACTAAACCATGTCCCCAGGTGCCACATCTACATGTCTTTTAAATATCTCCAGGGATGGAAGCTCCATCACTTCCCTGGACAGCCTGCTCCAATGCTTGATGGCCCTTTCAGAGAAGAAATTTTTCCTAATATCCAATCTAAACTCCCATGCTGCAACTTGAGGCCATTTCTTCTCATCCTGTCACAAGTTACTTGGGAGAAGAGACTGATCCCCACGTGGCTGCACCCTCCTTTCAGGTGGTTGTAGAGGGGCATCAGGTCTCCCCTCCCTCTCCTTTTCTCCAGGCTGAACAATTCCAGCTCCCTCAGACACTCCTCATCAGACATGTGCCCTAGACCCTTCAACAGCTTCATTGCTCTCCTTTGGAATGCCCTTCTTGTAGTGAGATTTGAGGCCCAAGAGAACTTTTTGCTTTTCTATATTTTTTCCAAATATGTTGTATGACCTTTATTTACTTGTCAGATACTAGCTGAACACCAGGCAGCAAACAAATGTATCAGTCTAAGGAAGTGCCTGCAGCTTTGCTTTCACTTACGAGGGGTTGATTCTTTTGAATCTTCACTATTAAAATGATCTTTGAGTCTTGAGATAATATTACCTTGGCAAAGGTATTAACAGTTCTTTTCAAATGTTTAGTTTCCTGATTTTTTTCTGTTTCATGCTAACAAAGCAGCTTCTGCAGGGGTAGTTACTTGAGCTTGTAGAATAGAAATAACAAGCCTCCACTTGCAGAGTGTACTTTGCAGTGAGTACTGTTGACTTAGCTAAAAATCTTCTGCACCAGATATCAGGATTCAGTCTTAGCAAGTCTTCTGCCATTCTTCCACACCCACATCTCCAGTCCATATCATTACAACAAAATGCATCTGCAGTTCTGTCTCACTCAAAAGGAAAATCTAATTGTGTAAATCAGTTTGATAAGAAGTACCATGTTATTTCATTACATAATAAAGCTAACAGTGTTGCCCATACAAATATTTCAGTACATATCTTTTGGACTAACATGACTGATTTGATGGAGTACTGTGGCACTTGAACAAATGCAGAAGATTTACTAGAAAGATGTTACAAAGGGTACGATTTTGACACTTTAGTTAGCATGTTTGTAGAAGAGAAGAACAAGCCTTCAGTGTCTGTTTTATGGTTTACTGAAGTTAAACCATAGATTGTATGTGTTTGTGTGTGCTCATGTATATGTGCATTTTGTATGTATAATATGTATTTAGACATTGAAAAACAGGAAGATTTTATATGCCTGCAATATCTACTGGTGTAGTAAAAATACTGGCAAACATACTTTTCAGAAGGGAAAATTTAAAACTTTTTCTTTAATGTATCACGGTATGTATTTCTTCCTTCCCATACTTGAGATTTGGGTGGTTTTTTCCTATTTCCTTTTTTAATGCAATTTTCATGGGGTAAATTTTACTTCATTTTACTGGGAGTAAAACTTCCTGTACAACATAAGCACTAATGGAGTTTGAGACAGCAGCTAATAGGGAGCACAGTTGAGTATTTCAATTGCTATAATGGGTCAAGGTTTCTAACAACCATGGAAATCCTCTTCAAACATATTTGCAGATCTAATATTCAAGCATTAAAAAATTTTTTACAGTAGTGTTTGCAAAGACAAACTTAGAGGTTATTTCTGTATATCATTTCAGCGTACAAATCGCTCGCAGGTGTTTAGGTAAAAAAATATCTTGTCCAGCTGCTTCAAAGCCCAGGATTGTGATCCATGTAAACACAGAGAGTGTGAAAAGATGGGGAGGCACACTGAATGTCTGGGTTTCTGAAGAGAACTTAGAAGCATTTTAAAAATGCCTTTGCATATTAATCATACGTAAAGTTACATTTTGAACTGACCACTCAAGTCTGACTTAGCCTACAGCTGTACTTTCACTTGAAACCAGTATTATATTTCTTTTGGGGGCATGTTAATGATTTCTGAGATTGTCACTGTCATTTCTGTTCTCATAAATTGTGTATATCACTCAATATTCAAAATAAAAAACAGAAATTCTAAAACCCATAGATAAAGTTTACAGTTGAAATCCTAGAAGAAAGCAATAGGAGAAAAGAACAGAGCTGGGAATGTGATACAACTGAAGTTAGGTCTGACCAGAAGCCAAGATTTTCTCAATTTGTATTCTTAATACGTAAAAGCCAAGCTGTTTGAAAAGCACACATTTCTGAGTAGAAATTGAATATATATCCATTTCCAGAGCTACTGCAAACACAAGAAACAAATGCAAAACTAAGGAAAGGAAGAACCCTTCTGATATTGTTGTTACTGTTGTGTCTTACATTTTTTGTCTGAATCTCAGACTCACTTGCTAAAAAAAAAAAATTAAAAAAACAACTGGCCAGTTAAAGTTGGTATTCCAATGTACTTTTCAATGTTGCCTCCCAATAACAAGACCAAATTTAAAAGGCTTCCAATTTCATTTGCTTTGCATACAGTCTATGAAGTTACTTGATTTTTTGGAAACCATTGATAAAAATAAATTGCATTTCTGATCTGATCTGTAGAAGTCTAATTATCAGGATATTTTTGTGTCTGGTTATTTCATTTGTGTTGTTCTTTGTATTCCATTGTTTAAAGTGTAAAGTTTAGCCCTGGAAAAATCTGTAGCTGTCATGTGGGCCTCTGTTTTACAAAGTCATCTTCCATTTTGGCAGCTTTTCTTCTATGAAAGACTCTTACTAAACTTGCTAAGGAATTTTGATCACATATGTAATGAATTCAATTTCCTCTGCTTTTGCCTTTGTTTACATGAGTTCATTTTCCCCTTCTTTGCATTCTTTTCCCTATTTTCTAATTCCCTTATCACTTTTCTCAGAGACATGTATAATATTTAGTTGCTTCCAGCAGCATTTTCATTTATGAGCCTGTGATTTCACAGTGGAGAGAGAAAGAATCTTTCTCCTTAGGAGAAAAATTTTGGGAAATTCATATTATTTCCTCACTTTCTAGAAAGATTTATCTGAATAGTTATTAAATCAGCAGCTTTTGAGGGCT